ATCTTCTACTTCTTTAAGATGACTACGTTCTTTTCTGTGCTCCCTCAGCTGTTCAAAAAGCAGTTCTCAACGCGATTTGTGACCACGTGGATGGGGAGCCTTTAGTACTCATCAATATGATGAGAAAAGTTGCCAACCATCCAGCGATTCTTTTCAAAAAGCTCTCTGAATCGGCGAATGAGGTGCTGCGCATTGAATTCCCCTTCTCTTAATCAGAACCCATGATTCACTTCCTTTACAGAATGCTCGCATTAATTATTCGTCTATATTGTCTGCTTTTCCACAGAACTACGGTAGTCGCCCAGTCAGCTTAGGAGATTCAGGTGAGATTTCTGTTCATATTTTGTTTCTAAGAGATATCTGGTCTTTTTCCCGAAGTTCGGCCAAGATAGTGAATAATTGTTCCACCTTTTACCTCGAAAGGTAAAACAGTTATAGTTACATTGACAGGTAACAGAAGAAGACGGAAGGGTACCTCGACATTGGTCCGACAGCTCCGTGAGATTGATAGGACAAGCACTGAGATATCATAGAATTCCTGAGTTTCATGGTTTAGTAGCTTCCGTGTTTTCTTGTAGAATGAAACTCTTCAAGATATTTTTTTGGCAACGTTTCGGGCCTTAAGCCCTTCTTCAGGCCTACAATATATACAATATAATATCTACCGATCACACTTAGGCATCACTTCTAGCTAAAGTGAACAAGAACTTCTAGCTAAAGTGAACAAGAAACTATTGGCGATACGAAATATGCGACTAACCGAATAACAAGGCAAGTGGTTTTGGTCCAGGGGAACGGGTTCTTCCCGGGAACCACGTGAATCACTGCAAATACTATTGGATGGACACGGAAGGGGGAGGGGGTAAGGCATATGGCGAGGACTCACCTATCTAGCTGTCCACTCTTGCAGAAATGAAGCAGCTAGATCGGTGGTGGGGAGGGCAAGTGATGTCGTCTGATACCCTCCAAGTCACCATATGTCACGTAATGGTCATTCAGTCACATCCTATAGTGTTGCGATGATCTCCACACTTGCTCGCAGTTCCTCCCTGTTGTTGATTGGAGGACGCCTTCGTCGTATTTCCAATGCCTCTTTTCATTCTCTTTCCCTTCCGTGTCCATCCAATAGTATTTGCAGTGATTCACGTGGTTCCCGGGAAGAACCCGTTCCCCTGGACCAAAACCACTTGCCTTGTTATTCGGTTAGTCGCATATTTCGTATCGCCAATAGTTTCTTGTTCACTTTAGCTAGAAGTGATGCCTAAGTGTGAATCGGTAGATATTATATTGTATATATTGTAGGCCTGAAGAAGGGCTTAAGGCCCGAAACGTTGCCAAATAAATATCTTGAAGAGTTTCATTCTACAAGAAAACACGGAAGCTACTAAACCATGAAACTCAGGAATCCTATGATACTATCAGATCTAAAACTCCTTCAACGTCAATTCCATCTATGTAGGAGCACATTTCTTATAATGCTGGATTATGTGGCGCATCATCAGCTAGCGCTTACCTTGGATGAGTCCCTCGTTTTTCTAACGAAGTGCAGACAGTGTAGGCTTACCCCTACATTCATCCGGAATATGGTTCAGCGTTTTTCGTACTACCGTCAGGATGCAGAAGTGTCAAGCAACTCCAGGACTGCCTGCTGGATGCAACGATTGCGGAGCAAAAGCGTAAAAAGAACATCTGTATTCGAACGATTGTGCAGCTCAAGGCGGCCCTACGACAGAGAGTGAGTGTGGAGTGTTGGACTAAGTTAATGTTGCATCACAGAGAAAAGTGCGACAGTCTCCGCACTGAGACACGACATCGCCTGGAGAACAAGCTCACGAATCTCCGAAACCTAATAGCACCATCACGGTTTATTATCCGAGATTCGATACCCCGAAGAGATGTGTCGTTCTAGATGATGAACAGGTCGCTGAAGGCGTCCTTAGCCTCTTGAACCTTGGCCCCAGTTTTGCGCCAAGACCACGGTTCACCGAGGAAGCAAGAACTGATGTAATGGCTGCAGTATATAAGTTCGGCTATGTTCCACAGCTGGAAGGAGCAAACAGGAGCTACGGCTCCTACACTCCAGGAAAGCTTGAGAAAAGCCATGCCATTCCCTCGAGTTTCTGCACCATCGTACGACCCAACTTTTTCGTCGAATCTGAGAGAGTTACAGGCTAAGCTTCTCCAAGTATTTGACCACCATAAAGGACTGGGAACGCCGGATAATATGACGCGGTCAGAACGATATGGTCTACGGAAAGCGTTAGCTTTGAAGAGTTCACTGAGGTTCACGGTTGGCGACAAGTGTGGTGGATTCGTAGTCATGTCACGGACACGAGATATAACTCTAACTGAAACAGTTCTGTCCGACTCATCGACATATTGCTTGACTACGATGAACTGCTACAAACGAGAGTGCAGTAAGCTTGAGAGGTAATAAGAAAAGTTCTTCGTCCGAAAGCTGGAAACGCAAACTCTGACACGACTCCTTCCTAAATATCCATGTATTCCAACGTATTACCAGCTTGTCAAGACACACAAGCTGACAGAGTCCGAAGGACGTGTCATGAACGATAACAGCCTCATCAAGACCAGACCGATTGTTTCGTCGTGTGGGGGCCCAACTGATGCGATAAGCTGGCTCCTACAACACATTCTGTCACCACTTCTGAACTATGTCCCGGCTCATTTGAAAAATGCTGATCATTTCCTGAGATGTCTACGAGAGAACGGTTCCAAACGCTTCAAGAACATCATATCAGAGCTTCGACGTGTCTGCCCTTTACACCAACGTAGACACGAGAATGGCAATTGAAGCGTGCATTGACCTATTACGACAGCATTCCAATAGCTGTCAATTATACGGTTTGTCCATTGGCGAGATTGAAGAGCTTCTGGTAAATGTTGTGAAGTTCAACATGTTCCGATTCCAAAACAACATTTACATGCAGACGAGAGGATTAGCCATGGGCAGCCGCATTGCACCGCTTCTTGCCATCATATTCATGGACCGTTTAGAAAGACGTGCCTTTTCATCGGGACTGCTGTTCTACGGTCGCTACATAGATGACATATTTGTAGTCGGAAAATCCAGAACAGCACTCCGTCGGACATTTATCGAGCTGAACTCGGCGCACCCCAATATTGCGCTGACTGTCGAGGATCCAGAACAGGACGGTTTTTTGCCATTCCTGAACACAAAAGGTGAAGCTTGCAGGAAAACCAGGTGTTCTCTATGTGGCACAAGAAGAGCGCTTCGAAAAACATCTTAATCCATTCGAGAAGCTGCCACCCCCTGTTCATGAAAAGAAATGTCGTTAAAAACACCTTGGCAACAGGAAGATGACGTCGACCAACGTTCCTGAAGTAATGGGTAAGGTGACACGCATACTTGTCGAGAATGGAAGACGTGAATTGCTGGCGCCCATATCAGGTGCCGGGAGGCGTCCCTCTCATAATACCATACCTCTCCGAGTCCTTTGCGAAGGATGTTAACCGAGTGGTGAAGAGGTCTGGGATGCCGATCCGCCTGATATTCCGACCACCATCAACGCTGCGCCGTCTGCTCACATCCTCTCGACTATATGAAGATCTGTGTGGCCGTGCAAATTGTTGTTACTGCCAAGAAGAACGGAAAATATGCCTTTTGAAGAACACCGTCTATGAAGTAGA